ACGACGACAGCTCCACCGCCAGCCCGCTCCTCGGCAGAGAATGCACCAACGACGGGCGCGTCTTTGTGTCATCCGGGCACGAGCTGACCGTCCTGTTCCGCAGCGACGAAAGCATCACCGACCGGGGCTTCAAGGCCTTCTACTCCTCAGTTCTCCCTTCCACCAGGCGTAAGTTCACAGCTGCCCTTGACTCTCTGCCGGGGCAGAAACACAAGCTCTTCCTTGAGAGCTGGGGTGGCTCCTGAGCCCTGTGGCCGTCCTGACCCTCTGGCCCCACTGACTGATGCTGTGGCTGGGGAACAAGGTTTGGACAAGACGGCCACCAGCTGCAACCAGGCGCTGCTTCTCTGCCCAGTGGGCAGGGACAGGGTTTCCTCCATCCCCAGCAGTGCTGCTGCTGACTCCAGCTGCTTGGTCTGGCCTTCATTACAGACAGAGGACAGGGGCAGGCTGGGGGACCTGGGGGTCTTTAGCCTGGAGGAGACTCCGGGGGGACCTTCTCACTCTCTGCAACTCCCTGAAGGGAGGTTGTGCTCAGGTGGGTCTGGGCTCTTCTTCCAGGCAACCAGTGACAGGACAACAAGAGGAGAGGGCACAGCCTGAAGCTGCTCCAGGGGAGGTTAAGGTTGGGTATTAGGAAGCACTTCCTCACAGAGAGGGGGGATAGAAAGCTGAATAGACTTCTCAGGGAAGAGGTGGAGGCACCTAGATGAGTTCAAGGAAAGGCTCCTTGTGTGGCAGACAACAGGTAGGTCTAGAGGGGCCTGGAAGTCCTATTAGCTCCTGCCCTCCCTTATATGGATGACAGAATCACAGGATGGCTAAGGTTGGAAGGGAACATGGAAGGACGTACTGTCCATGCAGAAAACTATCTGCACTCGGGGCTGGGGGGGTGGATGAGAAGGCTTGCGGGCGTACACAGAGAAATGCCACATATCCAGGTGGTGTCTATGGGATCATGTTTCTGTGTCCCTCTTCAAGAGGGTTGACTCCCAGTGGGATGTTCCTCTTAAACAATATGCTGCTCACTCACCTGCTGCTCGCTCCCTACAGCACCACCTACCTCCACCCCAGCACCCACTGTCTCAACAACCCCAGGTAAGTCTGGAGGAGTGGAGGGTTCTGATTATCTTCTGCTTATCTGATTACCTCCTCAGTTATAGAGGAGAGAATGTTTGGTTGGGGTCGGAAGGGGCATCTGGAGGTCTTATGGTCCTTCCCCCTGGCTAAAGCACATGGAGCTAGTCCCCAGTTATGAATGTCAGAATCACAGGATGGCTGAGGTTGGAAGGGAACATGGAAGGACGTACTGTCCATGCAGAAAACTATCTGCAGTCGGGGCAGGTGGGATGGATGAGAAGGTTTGGAGACACAGCTACTCAGAGAAACACTGCATATCCAGGTGGTGTCTATGGGATTGTGTTTCTGTGTTCCTCTTCAAGAGGTTTGACCCCCAGTGGGATGTTCCTCTTAAACAATATGCTGCTCACTCAGCTGCTGCTCTCTCCCTACAGCACCACGTACCTCCACCCCAACGTCCACTGTATTACCGACCTCAGGTATGTCTGGATGCATTGGAGGGTCTGATTATCTCCTGGCTCCAGCTATGGATGAAAGGATCACTAGATGACTTAGGTTGGAAGGGGTGTCTGGAAGTCTTCAGCTCCTATCCCCTGGCTAAAGCAGGGGAACTGGCTGCCCAAAACTGTGTCCAGATGACTCATGACTCTCTCCAGAGATGCATAATCCACTATGTCTGTGGGCATCCTGTGCCATTGATTAGTCACAGTAAAATGTACGTCCTGATCCTCAGGCAGAACATATATGGAACATGTAGGGAAGGTCGTGCGTGTGCAAGTGCAGGCAGGGGATTTGCTTTACTATGGTTGAAGCCGATGAAAGGAATGTTGCTGCTCAGAATTTTGGGGCATATTCCTCTTAATTTCATATCAACACTATAATTCTTCAAATGATCCCAAAATAGCACTGCAGGTGATTTCACACCCAATGTAGTCACTTCTTTGCAGTTGAGTAGTAATTTCACAACTTATGAGGAACAATTGGTTTTGACCACTATATAATTTTTGTTCTTCCTCTAATTCCTGCTTCAGCTCTTTGCTCAAATGCACTTGTTGAGAACAGTGCATCTATTGAAGGTTTAATTGTTCACTTAATAAAGCTTAGGTCACTTAGTGAGAGAAGGTTTTCTCATGCTTGCTAGAAGCTGAAATGAAAAATTAAAAATGTCTCAAGACCTTAGTGGGCCTTGTTTTCATTCTTTAGGCTAAAAGAAATCAATGTGTATTTTTTCTAATTTGGAATAGAATTCAAAAGCTTATGTCCATTACATATCTCTCTTGGCATAGCTTGAGCTTGTATTGAAAATTATCCTAGAAATCCATGACTTTATTTCCCTTCTCAGCTTTCCTAGGTCTTGATTCCCCTGCTGTTTGATTAGGCTGCATATGATCTAGATATCAAATTCATTGTGACGTAAGGCCTTCATGTTTCTGAATTGGATACTTGTCAGCATTCTTCTTCAGAAACAAAATAATTTTGGTCTTATTTTTCCTTCCTTTGAGTCATTAGCAATTGTGATAGAGGTGAACCAGGCTCGGCTGGATTTTTCAAAGGACAGCTGCCTTCCAGAAGCCCAGCCTAAAGAATTTTGCAGCTCTATGACAAATATTCATACCCTGCTTGGGCAGACACTGAAGATCAGCATAATGAAAGCTGCTCAGTGTGCTTTACATCTCCCAGTCTGCATTGAGATGATATATGAGCCTAATAGAAAAACCATTGAAGCTGGTAGAAACCACTGTTTCTAAATTCTAGACTTACTAATTCTATGTAGACATACTCCAAAAGTAATCTTAAATGGTGAATATGCATAATTTTCTTCTCATATTTTTCTCTGCAGAACATTATTCTTGTGGGGGCTTGCTTTCCTCTCCATCTGGAAGCTTACATAGCCCATTTTACCCCAGAAATTATCCAAACAATGCAAACTGTGTTTGGGAAATACAAGTAAAGAACAACTTTCATGTCACGCTTGTATTCAAAGATGTTCAGTAAGTAAAAAAGTATTACTTGGGACGATGATCATAGAGTAGAATAATGGTAGAATGGTTTGGGTACAAAGGGACCTCAAAGATCATCCAGATCCAATGCCCCTGCATGGGCAGGGACACCTCCCACCTGATCAGGTTGCTCCAAGCCCCATCCAACCTGCCATTCAACACTTCCAGGGATGGGGCAGCCACAGCTTCTCTGGGCAGCCTGGGCCAGGGTCTCACCACCCTCCTAGTGGAGAATTCCACTGAATCACAGAATTAATGAATAATGTATGGGATTGACACCTCAGATTTACTAAGCTGATAGCTGATTGATTTCAAGGATGTTTTTTGAAGCTCTTAGTACATCTGAGATGAAAAACATATTAATTTTTTTTTATTTAGTCAATAGCAGGGCTGGCATCTAATAAGACAGAAATTGAAGGGTATCACTTCTGTTCCAAAAATTTGGTAGTCAGTAAAATGTAATATTTTCTTATGAGCAGGTAATCAGGTTTGTTGGTTTTTGTTTGTTGTTGTTTTGTTGGTTTTTTTTAAAAAAAGGAAAAAAATAATAATAATAAAGGAATTAATCTTTTAACTAAATATCTACGTTTGCTCCCCAGGCTGGAAAATGGCAAATGCCTGTCTGACTATCTGGAAGTCTATGATGGGCCACTCCACACGTCTCCTCTCTTTGGGAGGTTTTGCTCTGGTTCCGATCGCACTTTCAAGTCCTCCTCAAACCTGCTGACTGTCGTGTTTCACAGCAACTCTCGACACACCTACAGAGGGTTTCTGGCTGAGTATCATTCCACTCCAGGAGATGAGAGCACCAGTAAGTTCATGTTTAAAGCAGAAACCTGCTTCTCAATTATTTGCCAGTTCTCTGGTTCTTAGTCCTGTTGTACTGCCTCAATGAATATTTTAAATTACATCTGTAGCATTTCACAGAGATGCAGGTCTACAGTTTGGGTTCTGAACTCCTCCTAAAGTCCTTATGGAAAAGATATTGATTACCTTTCTCAGTCTCTTTGATGACCTTGTAACACCTTTTCTTTGCCCTCCACCAGCACTGCAGTGTTTGCCAGACTTCATGCATGTAGTTGTGAGCAGGCATTTCCTTCAGTCAGAAGGTTATTCTCCTTGGAATGTCAGCTTGATCGACCCCCACTGCAAACCCAACATCACCGCAGAGTCTGTAGTGTTCAACATTCCCTACAAGGGCTGCGGCACAGTGAGAGAGGTATGACTCCCAGTGCTCCAGCAAAATGTGCAAATCCTGTGAGTGTGAACAGATCCAAGCTGAATAATTAATTTTTGGACAGCACAAATTGTTATGTTGGGATCTTCAGGGAGTGGAAGAAGTATCCTGGTCCTTCTGGGCTGCCTCTCCTGAGGGATGTTTTATTAACATCCATATTGCCTGTGTCTGCTTCCAGAGCATTCAATCCTAGTCTATTACAGAATCATTCCTGGTTGGAAAAGATCTTGAAGATTATCAAGCCCAACCTAAACCCACCAACCATAACCTAATCCACCTGTTCAGTGCTTAAATCGTGTCCCTAAACACCACATCTATATTTCTTTTAAACGCTTCCAGGGATGGTGACACCACCACCTCCCTGGGCAGCCTAGGAGTGTCCAGTGTTCAACCACTCTTTTGGTAAAGAAATTCTAATATCTAGTCTAAACATCCCCTGGTGCAATTGATCAGGCCATTGATCTCCTAATGAATAAAGTGTGAAAGGAAGCAAATACTTGGCACAGGACCAACGGTGGTTTAGGCCAAATTTCAGCTTAAATACTGTACAGGACCCAAACTTTCAGGAATTTAATGTTCAAAACATTGTATAAGGTGTATTTAATTTGGTTACATCTGCATTTAATGTGAGTAGTTTTCTAGACCCACCTCATTCAGTAGGCACTGTATTTAATGTAGACTACAGGCTCTTATCTTGAGAACAGCATTCCTCAGTTCACCTGCTCCACAGCAGGTTTTCTGGGAAATAATGCACACTGCTGTTAGGATAGAGCAAGGTTTAGGATACATACTGCATACCTGACTGTATGAATTAATTTCATATTTTATTTTCTATCCCAAACAGGGAAACAACAATACAATAACCTATTCCAACATCATTAAAGTATTGTCTCAAGGCACTGTAATCACAAGAAATAGAAATCTTCTCTTGCACATCCACTGCAAAATGCTTCAGAACACATGGGCAAAAGCTGTGTATGTGGTGGATAAAAATCTTGAAGTCAGTGAAACTCAGTATAATAGATATGATATAAGCCTTACATTTTATCACTCTGCACAATTCTTACGTCCAGTGGACACCTCACCATACCATGTTGATGTGAACCAGGATTTGTTCCTCGAAGCTTACCTGCACAGCTCTGATCCAGACCTGGTGTTGTTCCTGGACACATGTGTGGCATCTCCCACTCCACACAATGTTTCAACAGTGACCTATGATATAATCAGGAATGGGTAAGATCTTATGCTTCAGAATTAGAGACAACTGCTTTTGAACTGCTGTATGTCTTAGGTTTTTCAGGTTGTTTTGGTTTAAATAGAACAGTGTGAATGCAACAGACATTAATGTCATCTTCTAACTAGTGAATGAACACTGGCAATTGGGGTTTACTGGAGAGAGGGGGGTGGATTGACCCTAAATATAACACACTCAGTGCTTAAAATGGCAAATACACTAAATGGTTATGACTAGTTCACTGTAGATTGTTATTATTGAACAGTGTAACAGTGACATATCTCAGGTAAGAGTAATTAATAGAAAAACAAACACTAGGCATCTAGACACACAGCAGGCTGAGGAGGAAGTAACATGGCTCAATATTGCCAAAGAAGGGCATCTTGGTTTTGCTCCTTGCAGTTTTCTGAACCGTTTTCATCATGTTTTAAAAAAATCATTTTTAATGTTATGTGTTACATTGCATGTCAATGATTGCAGTGTGTGCTCATGAGAGTTTTTTTGTTTCTTTTCAGGTGTGCTCAAGATCCCACCTACACTACCTATGATTCCCCCTCCAGCTACATAGTCCGGTTTAAATTCAACGCCTTCCGGTTTGTTCGGAAGAGTCCCTCAGTTTACCTGAAGTGTGAATTCGTGGTGTGCAGGACCTATGACTATCATTCCAGATGCTACCAAGGCTGTATTACTACGTCCAGGAGCCAGTCAAGCTTTGATCGACCAAGTGTGACTGCTGTTGCTGGCCCGGTTCAGCTTCAGGAAAAGGAACGCGCATGATTTTGGCTAAAAGTGTCTCCTCTGACAGATAGCATCCTTAAATGCTAATTTAATGCTGGAAGATAATATGCTTTGGTGTACAGGTGGTGAAACACTGGAACAGGCTGCCCAGAGATGTTGTGGGGGCTCCAACCCTGGAGGTGTTCAAGGTTGGATGGGGCTCTGAGCAGCCTGTTCTAGTGGAAGGTGCCCCTGCCCATTCAGAGGAGTTGGAACTCTATGATCTTTAAGGTCCCTTCCAACTCCAAAAATTCTGTGATTCTGTGATTACCAAGAAGCTCTACAATAAATATTAGCAATGTGCTCACTGACTCCTGCCTATTCATGTCCCTTCACATCAGTTGTCTTTACCTGCACGTAACAAAAATGTTGCTTCTGGGAGGGCGAGGGGGGTCTGATGAGACAAGGCACAGCTCTGTGGGAACTCACCTGGACCCAAACTGCCTGCCATGTCAGAAAAGCCCCTCTGAAATGGTTTACCAGAATAATTCATGATCTCTAACCTTTGTTTGTTTTCAACCTACTATTTCTCAAACCTGTTGTTTCTTTTCTTAATAGTAAAACTGCAACATTTAAGTTGCAGTTTAAGTTCTATGAAAAAAAACTCTACTAATATAAACCTGAGCCTGGAGGTATCAGAGGGCAAGAAATGGATTAACCTTTAAATCTGGTCTAGAATACCTTTTTCCTTTTCCTCTTCCTCTTCCTTTTCCTTTTTTTTTTTTTTTTTTTTTTTAAGATAACAAGATGAGAGATCAAATGTAACCAGGTCATCTTATCCTTTCCAGAGCTAGACATTCTTGTCATCCAGAAGAGCCTGGATGACAGGTCTTGTTCCCATAATATTTCTCATGCACCATTTGTTATTGCTGTTGGGCTCCTGGCAGTTGTTTCTTTTCACTCTTGTTGAGTTTTTTTATGAAACATAAAGTGAAGAAAATAATCCCATACCAGATCATGTAAGCCTTGGTTAAGACCTGCAGCTGGTCCCATTGGTTGAGTAATTTCAGTGACATTCTAGATTAAAATGTAAGCATTAAAGGCTTTCTATGGCCATGGGTGTCACAATCCGTGATCTATTATATCTCCTTTTTGGAGTGTATTACGTTTATCAGGATTTGCTGAGAGATCCACACGTGGGTATCGCCTCACACAGAGGAGGCAGGGGCTTTGGCCCTAACTTTTTCGAGTGAATAACTTGCTCAGTGCTTACTAATATTCCCAATAACAGCAGCCAATCCCCAATTAGAATTTACGAAATGCACGGTTTATTATGGGGAAAACAAAGCAATTTGGGGCAGGAGGTTCAAAAGGAGTGATTAAAACACAT